GAGAGAGAGAGAGAGAGAGAGAGAGAGAGAGAGAGAGAGAGAGAGAGAGAGAGAGAGAGAGAGTGAGGGGAGAGAGAGAGGGAGGGTAGGGGAGCCAGAGAGAGAAGGAGAGAGAAGGGACAGAAAGAGAGAAATAGAGATAGATAGATAGATAGATAGAGAAAGAGGTAGAGAGAAAGAGTGAGAGGAAAGAAAGAGGAGGGGGAGAAGGTAAAGGAAATGCGGAGGGGGGGGGGAGCGGTGTCATATTGCGCTGGCGATGGAAACGGGGCTGTCTGTTCGCCTGTTCTCGGGGCGCTCGTGAACGGCGGCGCAGGTGCTGCTTGCATTATCTGGGGCGCTTGCTGTTCGTCCCTTTCTTCATATAATAAGCATTGCCCTCATTATCACTATTTATATCTATGCCTCTCTCTCTCCTACCTACCTACCTACCTGCCTGGATATCTGTTTATTCATCTATATGTATATTCATTTTCCACGGCGACTTTTTGGTCTTTTTGGTTTTGGCAATGAAGGCATTTGATTGATGTAATTAATGTATCCGATTTAATCTCTTCAAAGGATTCTACAGTTCCATACGCCTATCTACCATCTACTGTCTACCTTATCTCTCGCCTTCCACTCGAAATAGATGGCTGGCGACTGTTCTCTTAACAAAAAACAACAAAAACAAAAAAGCAACGACTCGCTCGACTGAGTGCGTTTCTGACAAACCAACGACTTTTTGTAAACGTGTCGTCGACATGTTTCACGAATCGAAAAAATCTTTTCTCTCGAACAACAAGGATATCTCGTCCCAGCAGCATTTTTTTTGACAAATGTAATTCTAAAGTTTGCGGTTCACGAGGAGACTTGTTCTTAAGAGAGAGAGAGAGAGAGAGAGGAGAGAGAGAGAGAGAGAGAGAGAGAGAGAGAGAGAGAGAGAGAGAGAGAGAGAGAGAGAGAGAGAGGAGAGAGAGAGAGAGAGAGAGAGAGAGAGAGAGAGAGAGAGAGAGAGAGAGAGAGAGAGAGAGAGAGAGAGAGAGAGAGAGAGAGAGAGAGAGATAGAGA